CTGTCATTTGTAAGTAGCATAGAGTTGGGTTTTGTTTTACAATCCAGCCTGAGAATCTGCCTTTTAATTGGCAAGTTCAAACCACTTATCTCATTGTGATTATTGATATATTTGCACTTGTTTGTACCATTTTTACTTCTTTGATATCTATTTGTCCCAATTCCTTCTCCTTTCTCCACTTTTATTTTTTGCCTTGATTTTTGTTCTTCTCTCCCATTTTTTTCCCTCTGATGATTTGGAATTTATGCATTTTATTTGTTTTCTTTTAGTGGTCACCTTTGAAATTTTACCATAATAAAGATTTCAAGTTGGTCAGTGTGACACCTAGATCATTAAATGACTTTGGAACACTTTATCTCTAGTTTTTCTTCTCTTGAATTTATTGGTCTTATTATTAAATATTTTAATTCTGTCTTTTTAAACCTAGAAGTTAGACATTCACTATTATTGTTTCAGATAGACAACATGTATTTTGTTGTACTAACGTGTTTACCAGTATATTTGTTAACCTCCTTCTTTCGTGTTGTACAGTCTTTTTAGGATTATTTAATTTCTGAGACGTTCTCTTAAAGAAGGTTTCTTGATGGTGAATTCCTGCTAAAAAATGATTTATCTGTAAATGTTTGTGTTTTTTCTCTCAAATAAAAACAGCTGGTTTCTTGGCTATATAAGGTTGACTGTTATTTTTTGCTCAATAATTTGTCGTTACTGTCTTGCACTGTTGAAATTTCTGCTCTTGTGCTGTTGATCTTTGTGGGTGATCCTTCCTTTCTCTTTGGCCACTCTTAGGACCTTCTCTTTATCTCTAATATTTTGCATTTTTACCATCATACCATATATATGCTTGTATTTCTTTTTGTCTAACTGGCTTTCTGGAGTTGTAGATTCATGGTTTTCATTGGAACTGGACAATCTGCAACTCATCTGTCTTTAGATGTTTTATCTTAAGTCTCTTCATTTTGTAATTTGTATATTATATCTAAAGGCAGATTTGTTTTTTCCCAGTGACAATCCTCCAAAATAATTTGTGGTAATAAAGTAAATAATTACTTAGAATGCAAAATAGGCATCATTCCGATAATGAAAAATCAGACTACCCTTGATGAGAAAGTACTGAGATTTGAAGGAAAAAAGGAGTGGTGGTCGTCATGATAATAGTCTCTGTCATTTATGGGGCACCTGTAAGTACTGAACACCCATCAGCCATGCTTGGTTGTTGACTGTATGGCTGTTGACATGAAGAAACAGGCTTAGGGAGGCCCAGTGCTCACCCTGAGTTACCCAGTAGTGAGTGATGGAAATGGGTTTCTACCTTTGACCTGTTGGACTTCAAAGCACTTCACTAAAATATCTTTTTTATAGAAAAGCAGTATTTTACATCAGACTGTCCTTTACCATCTAAATGAAAAAACAGTACTGTTTAGCAAAAAATGGAAAATGCATGTGGAAAAGGATGAAAATACAGCTAATCTGTTCCTCCATGGAAAAGCCTCTAAAAAAACAAAGGCTTTGTCACATAATAAATAAAAGCAATGGGTATTTAATGGACCTAGCAATTAAAAGCCATCCAAACTTACCAGAAAATGCATTGAAAACGAAAGGATAAAATGTTTGAAGAGAGCGATAGGAACCCATTATCATTACAGTAGATGAAACCATGCCCAAGATCTCCCTTTTAAAGGCTTTTTTGTACATTTCATTTAGTTTGCATTATATGGTAATTTTTTTTTCCATGAAAGGAAGAGGGGTTGGGATACATAAACATATTTAATTTAGATTGACAATGTTTGTAATTTTTTAGTTCGCCTTATTTTAAGCTACTCTGTTCTATATTCTGAATTTTGAAAACTCAGTTAGCTCCGCAGAAAACAGCCACGGGGTGTGCCTTTGTGGCTTCACTCATCCTCCCGTCCACTGGGAATGGGATAAGGGAGGGAGGAGAACCGTGTAATTCAAGGTCTGAGGACATTCCTTTATTTCATTTTCTTAGCCTTAAGAAAAACATGTGATGCAAATAGCGAGGCTAGGAAAGAATGTAGTTTATAAGCTTATACATCCTTTCATGAATATTCCACTGTTTTTTCTTTGACATTCTTATAAAAGATTCTATTTTGTGCAGAAGTCCATATTAAAACTTGTTTGGAGTTAGAGTTCAAAAGGCAAGTACAGAATAAATTGGTTGCTGTTCTCTTTCTAGAAGAACCCTGATCCTTCAGTGGGCTCAGGTTTTGCAATGGTTAGGGCCACAAGTCTCAGAAGCAGTGGCTGACCATCTAAAGCCATTGGCAATCCAGGAATCCGCCTCACCCAACCAGGCTGGGGATACTGTTTGAAGCTGAAGGTCTTCCTCTGGTGCGCACGATTTACCTAGTGGTGTTGCACCTCTGGTGAGCAGGAGTGTGCCACCAGCCCCCTAGGATCGCCTTCCTACACCCCTTCTTCCCTAAAGATATATTCACAGTGATAGTTTACACCTGTGTTAGCATGAAGGCATATGTAGCCTTTGACCCTAAAAGCTTGGGTATTTTCTGATTTTAAAAGAAATTAAAACACTTTTATGGGTTCCAAAAAATATTATGGGACCCAGGCACTATGTTCACTGTGCCGGTTGGAGAAGTCACGCTGTAGCCCAGAAAAGTCACTTTTCAGTGATGGAGACTGATATTAAAAAAATAAAATAAAATGAGATAGAGACTTCAATATTTCAAACCCATAACAATATCAAGTCTTATATATACTGGATCTGGCACAGTAAGATCTTGGGACTTTGTCTTGTTTAGAGGTAGATCTTTTAAAAGATCTTTTAGGTGCAGGAAAAGCCCCTACGGGTAATTAAGTTGGTCCTCCACTTCCTGGAAGGACTACATCAAAATCTTTCTTTTCCTCTAGTTACTAATTCTCACCATAAACTCATGCGTATTTTCACACCATTTTCAGTCTTTCTGGAGAAATCAGAGCCAATCAAGTCAATGACTGTTTCTCCCCTACTGAGTTAATGAAATAAGCGAAAAGTCACACCAGGAAAACAGCTGTCCTGGTTATTTCCTGGTTAGCTTTCTGCTCCACAGCTCAGTTAAGTTCATTTTTGGAAGTTTAAAATAAAATCAGTTTTCATGGCTCCATGTGCATAGCGATCATTTTCAAATTTGGTGTCCTCAGAAGACACGCTGTCATGCCCACATGTGCATTTATTTGTGGTGTCTGAGTGCTGGGGAGTGCTTGCAGCCTGGAGTATACCTGATACCCTTTTGCGATGATCATAAAATTTGTCTGAGAGTAAAAGTAAAACGTAGGCACTTCATCGTGGACAAAAATAGCAGTGGAGGGAGAGAATGAGAGCATCTCATTTGACTCTTTTGTCTTCTGCCAGTTCTGGAAGCGTATATTCTTTTGGCCACTCAAGAGCCAGCCTTTGGTCTAGCTTGCCACCTGCTGCACAACCAGAGAGCAGAGCATGCAGTGGTGACCAGCACAGACCCCCCGCCAGATCCCTGGCTGTCTCCCTCACCAGCTCAATAACCAGGACAGCTCCGTCTCGTTCTTGGTGCCTTAGTTTTCTTTCCTGTAGAGTAGTGCCAACACCAGTGCCCCCCTCACAGGATTGGTGTCAGTACTAAAGAGATTAATATATATACGAGTGCTTAGCACAAAAATATATATACAAGTATTTGCTATGGTGGTGATTGTTGTTGCCTCTTTCCCAGGTATCATTTAACAACCACGTAAGTGTGAGAGAGAAAGGGAAATGAAGTCGGTTGGTTCCCCTTCTTTCCTCTCCATCTTAATCTGGACTTGGCGTGGTTACTTGACCGATCTGCTTGCTTCCCCATCTCCCTGTGGTTGGTGGCTTGGTCTCTGGATGGGTCCATCTCCATGTGCAGGTAGAGCTGCTGATGGGATAGAGTGAACCCTGCACCAACCAAGACAGGTGAAGGGTTCACCAGGCTCTCGTATGTGAAGAGACACCCCATAAGTCCCAGATTTTACTGTAACCTTTACTATTCAAAACCTCAGTGGAAGTTCTCAGGGTCCCAGCCATATGGGTTTTTTGATTGAAACCCCCTTGTGTGTTTCCGTAACTAAACACGTTTGGGTGAGGATTAAAGACTTAAACTGTGTTCCAGCTTCTGGTGAATGCTGTTCATAGCAAGCTTCCAGCATCACGTTTTGCAGAAGCTAAAGCCTAGATCCATGCTTGTACTGTAACCAAAGGAAACATGAGGGTTATCACATTGTGCGGAAATCGTGTAGAATTGAATAGTGTGCCTTTTGTGTGTGTGGCTAGAAAGAGAGAAATAGAAAATGAGCAATAGCGTGCAAAAGGAGATTTTCTTTAAAGAATGCTTTGGTAAGAGGCTGATAATAAATGACCATTTTCTTTCTGCTACTGGAGCCCGAGACAAGTGGGGAAGGAAACTAGAAAAATGGCACATTCTTCTAAGTCTTTCCCGCTCTCTCATTGTCTATATTTAGTGCTTCTGACCCTTTTCTATTAACCTGTGATCCTGTTAAAACATTAATTGCCATCATTAAAATAAAAGCTCATCACTTTAGAGACGGAGATAGATTTTAGATTTTTTTAAATAAAATATTTCAAATCCATTTGGAAGCCTTAATTTCCAAGGCCAAGCCATTTCTGATCCTCTGATTCAGGGGGTGAAAATGGCTCTCTTATTTTATCCTGATATTATGTGCTCTTACATTCACTTTTGAATAAAACCCATTTCTCCATGGATTAGGGAAAATTTAAATTTGATTTGCCGGCTGTTTTGCATAATTTAAATATCTAGTACTGAGTTATGTATTTAGAAAAACATGATTATTTAATAGGAAACTGAAATTTTCAAAAGTTCAACTTTAGAAGTTCTACTTCTAAAATAATTTTTAAAACTCGATATATTTTGGCATTGATTAATGTTGATGGCATTTTGATCACATACATCATCAGTATCATGGTATTTCTGAATTGCACCTTTGCAATGTATTTTTTCTCTCCTCAGGAAGTTGAAGACCATGTGGCGTTTTTAATAACAGTTCCAACTGCCCTGGCAATTTTCTTTGCGATATTCGTCCTCGTTTGCATCGAGTCCGTCTTTAAGAAGCTGCTCCGCCTCTGCTCTTTGGTGATATGGATATGTCTCTTGGCCATGGGGTACTTGTTCATGTGTTTTGGAGGTACCGTCTCTGCCTGGGACCAGGTAAGGTTTTAAAATGTTTTTTTTGTGTGTGTTTTCTTTATGTGCTTTGATTTGTGACATATGTAGTTCTGTAAACTTGGCTCTAAACTGTAAACAAGACACCTATAGCTGAGAACAAGGTCTTCTGAAATAGCTATCTTAGCAGTGTCCCCACAGGTGAAGTCTCTCAATGCCTATTTTAACTCATCAGACTCGCTGGCAGCTGCTTGCACGCCTGTGTCTCACCTTGTCACTAATTTTTGATGGCTAAGTCTGAGTTTACGCCTCAACACCACAGTTGTGTAGCTCCATTCTTCTCCTGGTCCCTGAGTTTCCCGTGATTCCAGAATCTCTCTGGGATCGGGGAGCTTACCTTGTGCCTCTAATTCTCAAAGACTGGTCATTGCTCTTGAACTCTTTCTCAATTACTGGGTCATCCTCCTTACAGGCAGACTTCTGTGATACTGACTTTGTATCAACATGATTACATCACATTAATAGGCTTGCTTCCTACACCTGTTGGAAAACCCACAGTTATTCATGTTGAGCCTGAGGAGGCCCTCGGCTTAGAGGAAGGACATCTGGAGGATGTCAGATCTTTATAAGAGTGCAGTCTTACCCGTAGGCTTTTCCCCTGGTGCCACTGTCTCATGGGTGTATCTCGCTGACTGCTTGATTAAATGGTGTTGTCCAGGGTGCAGATCTGGGCTGCCGATATGGATGTACAAATTACTAGCTTCAGGCTCATAATAGAAGCCATGGGGTTCTCTAGCCATCCAGGGAGAGTGAATTGAGCACCAAGAGGGCCATCACAGAGTTGGCGGGAACTCAGGAGCTGGGCATAGGAGAGGAACAGGAGCCAGGAATGGATAGAGGAGAAGCCGCGGAGAGACGAAGACTAGTGAGGGAGAATTGCTCTGGAGGCCAAGGGAGAAGAGAGATTCAAGATGGGAACTGACAAAGAGTTCAAGTGCCAGGGACAAGGGACACAGCATTCCTGGTGTGCCTTAGCTGGAGAGAGCCCTGGATGAGCCCAATGGTGAGGTTTCCAGCTGGTTCTGTCAGTAAGTCATCTGCGACTGTGGCCAAGCCTTCATCCCCTTTGGGCCTCAGTTTCTTCTGCACAGGGAGAGGGCTGGACTAAGTGAACTCAGATTAGTCTCTCTGGCTCTAAAGGACACTGTCATAGTGCACAGGAGAAGGCATGGCACCACCTTTCTTCTCCTGCAGCTCCCTGCAGAGGCTCCAGTCAGGGAAGCTCCCTGGCCTGTCTCCTCATCACTCTCCCGTTCAAGCCCCTTGGAGGGCTGGACACCCTCCCCTATGCTCGGGCCAGCTTCTTCCCTGCCTCCACTCCTGCCTCTCTTCTTCACCTCCCTGAGCTGCAGCCTCACCCATATGCCTTCGATGGTGCATGTGGTCCTCGGTCCCTCCTGCCTTCATGGCTCACATGGAGCAGAGACCGGAGACCGGTTAAGAGCATCACCTGCTGGACTGTGGCACGGACCTAGTGGTCTCTCCTTGCACCAATGCCACCTTGTTTCAATGTCATAGCTTTAGAAGAAGCCTTACTATCTGGAAGGGCAAGTAGCCCCTCCTAGTTCTTCAGTTTTCATTTTGTTCTGAATTTTCTTAGCTTACTTTTCCATAGGAATTACAGAATCAGTTTGTCATGTTCAGTGAAAACTCCAGTTGGGATCTGGATTTAAATTATATGGAATTTCTTAATTTTTGCTTTGAAAGATATGAAACGTCTAGGAAATAATAAGAAGATAATATAAAAAACATCCAGAGATTTGCCATCTTATTGTATTGTTTCTATAGAATGATATGGCATGTCTGTCTAATAATTCTGGTTTTCTGTGTCCTTCAAAGACTTTTTTTTCTTCATAAAATCAGTAGCAATTTTCCTTAGACTTGTTCTTAGGTACCTAAAGTTTTTTGTTGTCTTATAAAAGGGATTTTTTTCTAATTGTCTCTTCTATTTGGTTAATGTTGATGCATAAGAATACTATCGTTTTTTATGTTGGTCTGTAGCCAGTAATCTTGGTGAACTCCTAGTAGCTGAGGGTCTCAGTTTATTTATATAGACACTATTATTATCTCCAGATAATTAAAAAAGGTTTTTCTCCCTTTTAATTCCTTAATTCACTCTATTCTTATGTATTGTACTGTGTAATTGTATTAGCCAGGACTTCTAATGCAGAAGTGAATAATAGAGTGTAAAGTGCCATCAAACCTGTTTCCAACTTAAATGGAACATCTGTAATTTCACCGTAATATAATGTTTGCTTTATTATTATTATTATTATTTTAAAAGAACGGATTAATCAGGGTAAGGACCTCCCGACTGTCCGGAATGCTCTTCCTCCACGTATCGCGTGGCTCCTCCGTTACCTTCATTAACCTCATTGATGCCCTTCAGAGAGCAGCCTTCCCCGACCTCCAGATGCGCCCTCGTCGGGCGACACCCCTCACCCTGGGTCAGTTTTTCCATAGCGCTTAGGATGATTATAGCACCTCGGGTCATATTACGTGTTCCTCTCTTTGTTTATTGATGGTCTCCCCTGCAAGAATATCAACTGCTTCTGGGCAGGGATGTGGCTGTCTCTCCACTGTTGTGTCTTTGCACCTACAAGTGTACTCTGCCAAGAGCAGGCCCCCAGAGCAACTCGTTCAGTGTTTCCATTAATGGATGACTATTTTTCATCTCCGGATTTGTTGTTGTTGGGTTTTTTTGTATCTATTTGTTCTGTTTTTAACTATCTCTTGGTTTTATAACATACATTTTGGTTTTATTGCTGCTGCCCACCTGCTTTTAAAAATCTGTGTAAGCACCTTAAACATACGTATTTCATGGTCATTTACTTCCGTTTTCTCAAGGTTGATTTCTCTCAGGTTTTGAGCTTGTTGGCTAAATTTCTGGGTATCAGTTATCCCTGAGTGCCTTGATATTGTTGTTTCCAAGGTTTTGTTGAGTTGGGATTTTTTCACCTCTGCCCCAACACATAATCCCACCTCTGTAAGGGTTACCTTTCTCACGCTGCCAGGGCCCCGGGCAGAACTAGCTTCTACGTGGAGCCTTAGCCCTGTTGATATTGCAGGTGGGGTAGCCTGCCCAGCTTGTGGCCTGGGCATGTTCCTGGGAGCACAGCTGTGTCTGCTTGACGCTCAGAAAAGGCCACAGGCAGGCTTGGTAGCTGCAGCGATTTTTGGCCACTCTTGCTAAGTTGGGGCCCTGGGCAGGGTGTCTGCCTCACGCTGTGGGCCTGCTCACACGCCTTGCCAGAAGAGGGACGCTTTAGGCCTCCTTCCTCCTCTGGAGTTTGAGATCCTGCCCCACACTCCTGGTTACCCCCACCCCATTCAACAGGCATGGGAATTTAAAATGAAATTATTCCGTCATATTAACCAAAAGTCTGGCATCTTTTAATATCAGCATCATAGATGTAGGCCCCTCAGTGAGCACTAACCCTCAAGAAGTGTTACGGTAGGTTCACTGTGCCTAAGGCAGTGTGCTCCATGAATGGTTCCCACCAGAAGATGATGACATTAACAGTATTGCTGTCAGGAGATGCAGGAGTAAGCCTACTGCACAGACAGAGGGAACAGTCCACACGAGGCCACCCTCACTGCTGACACCAGTGGCAAGTTTGGGGGTTTCCAAGACCCCCCTGAGGTTTGATAACTTGCTAGAAGGGCTCACAGAACTCATTGAAAGCTGTTACACTCATGGTTATGGTTTATTACAAGGAAAAACTACAGATTAACGTCAGCCAAGGGAAGTGTCTGGGAAAACAAGCCAACGTGGAGCTTCCCTTGTCCTCTCCCTGTGGAGTCATGGACAGTGCTACTGTCTCAGCAGCGATATGTGGCTCTGTGTATGGAGTATTGCCTTCTGGGATGCTCAGCCAAACCCTCTGTGTGCAGAGTTTTCACTAGGGCTCAATCACATACTGCCTGCATGGCTGACCTTTAGTCTCCAGACTTCCAGGAGGCAGAACTGATACTGCATGGCCCTAAGTCCCTGTTGTAAATCTCATTTAGACCGTCTGCTGGCCAAAACCCCCAGGCAAACAAAGACACTCCTGTCGGACAGGGCATTCCAGGGGCCTGGAGATGACTTAACAGGAGCCCAGGGCAGAGGCCAGACCTCTCTTTGGGTAAGTTAATTCTTCACTGTGTAGGTGGCTTGAGTGTAGATCCCAGCCATCAACATGTCTAGTGCAGAACACAGAATATCCTCAGCCAGCATAGCATCATCTGGACTGTGCCAGCCCTGTCCTGAGTGCTTCTTTACATAGTCTCATTGATCCCCATGTAGTATCGTGGGGTGGGGACCATCATATTCATCCTTTACAAGTGCAGAAACAGGCACAGGGTGGTGAAGTACCTTCTCACAGCCAAGCTACTTGTGAGTGGAAGAGGAGATTTGAATCCAAGGGGTCTGACTCCAGAGGCTGGCTCTTATTCATGATGCCAGTGGTTCTCAGCTGGGAGTGATTTCACCCCAGGGGACATTTGTCCATGTCTGGAAACATCTTTGTTGGTCATAACCTGGATGGGGGTATTTTACTGGCATCTAGTGGGTAGAAGCCAGAGATATTGCTCAGCATCCTACAGTGCACAGGGCAGCACCTACTACAGAGAATTATCCAGCCCAGATGGCAGGGGTGCTGAGTCTGAGAAACCCTGTATAATACAAGACTGCCCCTCAATGTCGCATCTTAAAGAACCAGCTCTTAAACCCTCAGTAAGTGGAACTGTATGGGTTTGCCAGGGCATGACTTACACGTGGTGGCACTAGTTTTGATCAGGCAAAAGGGAATGATTTTGCGGCATCTCGCCCTGAGAAAGTACCGGCAGGTAAAAGAGTGGCAGACTTGGAGATCAGTCAACAGCGAGGTTTGGAAAGAGTCCCTAGGGAAATAAGGAAAATGGAAGAGAAAGAACCTCCGGCGATTTGCCCTCACAGCCTCGAGCGCACGCGGAGCCTTCCTGTCACTGGTGTTTGAAGTCAG